TTTTAAGCTTAAAAAGTGTGTGTGTGTGTGTGTGTGTGTGMGGGGGGGGGGGTCATATTATACGAGATTGTAATGTGATGGATTTGGGAAAAAGGTGTGAATGTCAGCTTTATGTTCACATGCTCAATTGGATCAGAGCAGCTGCTCATCAAAGCTGTGCATCTCGCTAATTTAACAAACGGATTCTGGGAATGGATCGACTTCAACTAAATAACTTGAAGAAAGATGCTCTGCTTGGAGTGCTGCTCCACAGCTCCGCCCACAAAAACAAGACAAGATACGACACGATACAATAAACTTTATTGTCCCCCAAGGAAAATCTGTCGTGGGCGGAACTGCAGCGACTGCAAGACAAACAAACACCTTACTGTGAGAACAGTTGTTGCAGAAATGTCGCAGGGCAATTTTAACCAAATAAGACAGTTGAACATATGGCATCTGAAACTGAGGACAATGAAATTGCACCAAMTGAAGAACCATTGCACGTCCCAACACAACACAACTGCAATGATGTTGTAACATAAAACCAGCAATTAAAATTTGTGAAATGAGCAAATAAATAAATAGCCAATATATAGAAATAAAACCTAGACTAAATCTTCCCCCCACCACCAATAGTAATCAAGATTTATTAAGAAGAGAAATGGAAGTTGGGAGAGAGGATAATTTAAAATGGTCACCAAAGCTCTGACCAATCACACGCTGTGATCCTCAAGCTCCACAGGACACAGTTCTGACTGGGGTCAATGCACACGTCGGCTGTCTCCGGTGACAACAGACAGAAGTTTCACAATTTTTTTTGTCGCTCAGCAGGGGGAGCAAGATGTGCGACTTTGCCTTCATTGGGGGAAATGCACTTGACGGGGTCTTGACATGTGATAAGAGTAGGAAACTACGCAAATGTCATCATCCATCAACACAAGTGAGACATGAGAATGGGCCTTCTTGCCGACTATAAATCAGGCTTTTATGCCTGAGCTCGACTGCTGTAATATGACACTGAATGCACAAATGACTCCAGCAGCATGCTTATCTATAAGACCTCTTTCACAAGTAGCCATTGTTCTTTATTTTTCTTGCTCCCTCCTATTTACATTAATTGTTCATATCATTTATAGTTTATTTCCCTCTGTGTCACTGAGGATGTACATTGAAGACAAGCAAAGTGTGTCATAGCAGAGCTACAGACAGCATAAAAACAGCGTTATGTGGAGGCTAACATGGCTGTAGTAGCTGTAAGCAATGAGAGGGACATTGCACAGAACAAAATTTAGCACTGCACCAGTGCTCTGTTGTATATACTGAGGCCCGATTAAGCATAAACAGCATTAGTATCATGGTGTAGCTGATAGAGAAGATTAGGGTTGGTACCTTTCTTGAAAGCTGCTAAAGACATTTCTTAGTTTAAACAGGAAGATCATAATGTATAAGGCTATATTGTGGCTAAATGGTTGGAGATAATTGGGAAGCTTGCCACAAGCTTAGTTTATTGGAAGTGATATGTGTATCTGTTGTGTAGAAGTTTAGTTTCTGGATGTTTTTTTTTTTAAGACAATGCTTCACAAAGGCTGGTCCTAGGCAAAACTGCCCTTATGACTGGCCTTGAGCTGTAAGGGCAGTTTTAGTTCTAATGCATTTATTACAGAGTTGCTGTTGTAGATATGAGCACAACCACTAGTACACAATCTCGTGCGTAATCTTTTCTCTCATAGCAACACACTCTCCCGCTTTAGCACATTAAATCACAGCCAACCCGTCATTCATCGCATCATTCCATCTGTAATTTCTCTTCGACTCTGTGAATGAAGCTCTGCATTTGTTTTGATGTGAAGCAGAAAGAAGTAACTTGTATAAGCTAGGCACACGTCAGAGAGTGTCGTCAGCATAACTCTGTTTCTCATCTGTGAAAGTGAGTTTATTAAAGCACACACCAAATACAGACCATGACCAGTTTGTTAAAGTCATACGACTTCTTCTGTTTTGGATTTGCTGCTCATGAGTGAAATACAGTACCTTTTTTATTTCACACCAATGTTCTTTCAAACAAGATGTGAAGTTTGATAGTACATGTTGGATTGATAATCTGAGGTTGCATTAGATAACCTGTTTCCTCTGTAAAACTACTCAGCACAGCCTGGCTGGCGCCAGTCTGAGTCTCATTTGTCCCAGTTTGATCCTTTTACTGCATGTGCTTTCCTTCTTTCTGTCTACTTTTCTTGACAAACATTTTTAAAAAATGCCCCTAGTCCTACAAGATAAAGTAAACAAATAAATAAAGCACTTATCACTGTTTGTCCTAATACTGTATGTCAGGAAAAATGGTGGTGACTTCATTTCCAGATAGATTATCAAGAAAATACAGTTACCATAATAATATTCCAGGGGACCACAAAAGCTCATTGGTCAGTGTTGAAGACTCGTAACTCTGAGGGTGTTGGTTCGAGCCCAGGTTGCATCAGAAAGAATATCAAACATTAAGCAACTTCTAAACAATAAGTTCACTCACTGAGGCGACCCCAACAGAAAGGAACAGCTGAAAGAAAATCAACATAAACAATTAATAATATTCCATCATAAAGTCAACAATTGATTAAATGGTAAATGGCTTGAACTTCTATAGAGCCTTATCAAGCACACTGATGGTGGTAAGCTACYTTGTAGCCACAGCTGCCCTGGGGCACACTGACAGGCTGCCATGCACTGGCTCAACCGAACTCTCTGACCACCATTGGTAGGCAAGGCGAGTGAAGTGTCTTGCCCAAGGAAACAACGATTGAAACAGCTGGAATGGGGGATTAAACTGGCAACTCACTGGTTATGGGAAAACCCCCCTAACCACTCTGCCACAACCGCCCKAACAGGGCAGGTTTGCATTGTGTGATTTTAAACTCACATTGTGCCAGCTTCACATTTTTTAATTTTGATAGTAACTRATGTTTATGACAATTTGAGTTACTGTTATTACTTTACTTTTTAAGTATCAAATATCAATTCAGTTCAGTTTATATAGRGCCAAGRCACAGCAAACGTTGTCTCAGGGCACTGTACASAAAACAATAAATCTAAAGAGGCCAGRAGATTGTGTTGAATCTTCACTTTGTCACAATGGTGYCAGTGGAAAGGAAAAARTCCCTTTTAACAGGAAGAAACATCCAGCAGAACCAGAACCAGGCTCAGGACAGGCGGCCATCTGCCTCGAKCGGCTGGMTTTGAGGAACAGGAAAGAGGCAAACYCAGAAGGKCTGGTCCAGTTGTATTTTCCTCTGGAAGAGACACAAAAGTCAAAGCAAAGTGTATCCACCATTTCAAGGGCTGAAAATCTGTTTGTTATACAGGAAGTGTTTTATTGGTGGGGTGGAGTTTGCTTAGACAACAGTCTAATGTACTGCAAAAGATAAACCATATTTAGCTTTATGTTTTGTTACCTTATTTGGTCTTCCTGAATAAAAATAATTTTGTCTTGTGTAATGTTTTAGAAGCCATTTTTATCTTAATGTTTGCCCATGGCTAACAGCCCATATTTTAAATGTACAGTAGTTCATTTTGTGCRCGTTCTTTATTCTGTCTCTTACTGGAGCTGGCACTTCGCAGGAGCTCCATACTCCAGTGTTCATCAGAAAAATTCAACTGAAAACACCAAAAKATTTTCTCCCCAAATATACAGTATCTCTCCTCGTTGTTTGTACTGACTGTTATGGACATCCTTCATGGTCAGACGGACTGAAATGTTGCAGAAGGCAGAGGACAAAGCTCTCTGAATGAGCCAATCACACGAGCTTTCTTTTCTTTGACCAGTGAGCAGAGCTGGCAGCAGTGATTTATGAAGCTCTTTGAAATGTACGCAAATTAGCATGTTCAAAACTAAAGGGATGTTTCACAGAACTTTTTACTTGCTAAAATGACTRTATTACATTGTAAGAAAAAAGGAGAAAGACGTAGGAGAAAAGTGTTTTATGAATAATTAATTTGGAACAAAGGAATAATTGCATTAATGCACAGTTTTGTTCTTTCATTGGTTGGCTTAACCAGATGATAAAATAATCAACTAAAAAATGAAGCTGCTGAATGAATAAATTGTCAAATATAACTTTAACACGTTCAACGGAAATTTAATCAAAGAATGACTTAAATCATTAATTTACTACTTTATTCATTTTGTATATCTTTTGCAAGTTTAGTCACAATTAGATTTTTTACTACAGAAAATAGTGTCAAATAAATGTGTAACTTGCACTGTTATAAATTCACACATTTTCCATTCTGTACATAAAAACACACATATTCTTACTTACAAAAACAACACCGAATATGTTTGAATTGCTAATTGTACTTTAATCCTTTTACTGACAAAACTAGCATAACGCAAACATATTGCTTGGTGCTTTGTGTGCCAAAATGATTTGTTTGCACACAGGTTGTTTTGCAGTGACTCTCAGCTACATCAAAGTTTGACTCAGTGTTTCAAAAACTGACCTAATAATGACCATATTTATGTTTGCTAAGGTCATTTAGCCYTGGTGGCCATCTTGAAACAGGAAAATATCAGTTTGGCTCTGTGAATTGTCATTCTGAAACTCTGTTTTGCGTTATAAAATGTTAGGAGTCTTTTGAAAACATTATAGAACATTTTGAATCTTTTGCTCTTAAAGCTAGAAGACACAGCGGTGCTTCATTTGGTTCTTAAGTTCCTTRATTTCTTTCTAACCACAGGGGGACAAGAGTCATTCAGTGTTCAGTGACAGAGACAAAGCAGTCTTTTGTCTTATTTTGACACACTTTCAAGCTCATTCAGTGCAAAAGCAGCGTACAGTGTAGTGCTGTTAAATTTACCTTTTGGAAATTTTAAGAAATTTTACGGCATGCAAAAAAAAAAAAAAAACCTCAGTTCTGAGTCTTTGGTTCTGAATTTTATCAGGCTCAAGTAAATGGACCACAGTAAAAACATGGGTTTAAATGCGAATATACTAACAATCTTATTTTTCTCCTTCTTTGTCCTAAAGGAAACAAAGRCCATCAMCATCCAGGGATCCAAATCAAAAATWCGACCAAAGGGAGGGGGGCGACCACCCACAGTATGCCCCGACAGACGGCAGCATGCCCAGATCACCGTCGGACTATGGGGATGGGGACGCTCGGCGGGCTCCGCGGGGACCACACATATTCCCAAATGTGGATGCAATAGAGATGGGCTATCGGGACCATAGGGGTCCGAGCCGCTGGCACTCCCAAGAATACCCACTTGACCAACAGCTAGATGGACCACCGASTGAGTTTGACCTCCAGCGTCAGCGCCAGGAGGAGTTCCAGGCYCGATACCGCAGCGATCCCAACCTGGCACGCTATCCTGTCAAGCCTCAGCCCTATGAGGAGCAGATGAGGATGCACGCTGAAGTGGGCCGGCTAAGGCATGAGCGTCGCCACAGTGATGTCTCCCTGGCCTACACGGAGCAGGATGACCCTGGTCCAATTAGGCTGTCCCGTCAGCACCTCACAGAGCGCCGGCCGCCTATGATGGGACAGCGTTCATACTCTGTTGACCGGTCCTCCCCAGGGCCCATGGGCCCTGGAGGCCYCCGAACCTCAAACCACAGTCCCCCAACTCCTCATCGAAGCCCYGTGCTGGGTGATAGATCAGGGGACCTTCGAAGAGGAGACCTAGGAGTCATTGGAGATGCCYTGAGGAGGCAGCAACACCATTTGGACCCAAGTTCAGCTGTCCGCAAAACTAAAAGAGAGAAGATGGAAAGTATGTTAAGGAACGACTCTCTTAGCTCAGACCAGTCGGAGTCGGTGCGTCCCCCACCCCCCAAGCCCCACAAAACCAAAAAAGGAGGAAAGATGAGGCAGGTGTCWCTAAGTAGCTCAGAGGAGGAGCTGGCCACCACACCAGAATACACAAGCTGTGAAGATGTGGAGATCGAGAGCGAATCAGTCAGTGAAAAAGGTAGGATCCTTCTACTTTCACCCTGTTGGCACATCTTTATCAAACAGATGTTTTCTGATGAAGTCACTAACGTTTCTGAATCTTTCTTTAGTTCGATGAAGACATCATGCTGTAATATTTCTGACATTGTGGGGAAGTTTAAATGCAGTTGTAATGAAATAATAGCTTTTTTTGTGTCAGTATACCTTAACTGTTTTCTGACTTGGATTCTTTCTCCAGATTTCCCACTCTGCTTTGTGTATGTGTGTGTTTCTATGTGTTTCTACGTGTTTGGCTCAATATTATCAGTTCAAAAATATTAGAATTTATATAAATATAACTTCTTTACGTCAAAGTTGGCCTAATCCATTGTTTATCTACATTGCTCTGTAGGTTCTACTTATAAAGCATAAATTTATTTTGAGTAGGTTGACTTTAAATAGAAAGAGACAATCTATTTGCTACAACACAAGAAAGGGCATTATTTATTGTTARGTTTAAAAAAATTTAACTCCTAACCTAAATATTTCATGATATGCAAACAAACTAAAACTGATTACAGGAAACACTGTATTTTTTTTGCAAAGATCTCCTATACTTTTTTAAGAWATTTTTTGACGAGGATGTTTTCAAACCAGTCAGGTATGTTCAGTGGCTGAATCGTGGTCACGGCTGCTATTAGCTTTGTCTTTTCTTTGTACTGCTGTTCTTAAGGCAAACTTTGTGAGATCTTGACTGTAGCACATGTTTCCCACACACCCAGTTTGTTCTAATGGACAGTGTTGAACAGTATRGAGCTGAGTTAATAACAGCTACATTGATGCATATTAATAATTAAAGATAATAAATGAGCAGAGGGTGATTATGTGTTTCTGCAGCCTATAGCCTTTACATTATTACTTGCAGTGTTATGTTACTGTGCTGTAAATTTGTGTAAATTGAAACAGGGTTTTGACTCAGTTCACGTAATGAAATATATTTAGAACTGTATTTTTTTCAGGATTTATCTCTGCATACAGGTCTATTGCATCGGCAGTTCAACCTGACCTTAACAAAAGTATCAAAATAAACTTGMCTATATTTATTTGTAGTACTAAAGTAAAGTATCAGTTTAGCAGAATCTACTGTTTTCCATTTTGTGATGTAGAAACTGTTAGTTAATGAGCCATGTTATCTGCTTCAGCCTGTGTTGGACCATTTGTTTCATCGATGCAAGAGAAGCTGATTCTGGTATCTTCTTGTGGATGTTGGTTTCTAAACAGAGATATTTTAAAGAAGTAACGGATGGAGCTCCCAGATGTGTAAAACCAGAAAAAAGTATTTTTAGAAAGAAATGTTTCAGCACTTCACCTAATTTTAATTTAATTTTTTATTTTTCTGCTTTATGAAAGTGACTGACAGCTTGAACCAACTGGTTGGGTAGAATGAGCATTAACTCATAGAAATATCATTAAAAACAGCTCAAACTGCACAAATGGTTAATCTAAATACACGACTTTTAAACTGTAGTTAACATTAAAATAAAAACCTACTCTTAGTACTAATCTGTGATTTTTAAAAAAATCATCATCCTAGTTTTTTGCAGTTTACCTGATTGAAGTGAAATGTTTYGTTTCTTCACTGCTAGGGATGGGCGATAAGGATTAAAAAGTGTATCACTATAATTTTTAGGTTTTATCACGGTAACGATAAGTGACGATAAAAAATGTATATATCAAACTAAGGCTGGCAGGAACATCTGTATATGCTTTACACCTTTAGAGTTTTGGTCAAAAAGACCAAGGGTCAGATTTATAAAGGATTGCATGGAAACCATACTAAAAGCGAACGTACGGCCAAAASGYGAAAATGGKGTACGCCAAAAATAATTCTGATATATAAAACCATGCGTACGCATGTTTCTGCGCACCTTTCCTTTATAGATCATAGCTTCACCTCACAGTTTGTGCACAAGGTCCCGCCTCAGGTTCTGCACTCTACACGCCCACA